AGGGCAATGAATGTACAAATGTGCTTTACACAATTGATGTATATATGGATTGTGATAAGAGTTGTATGAGCCCCTAATAAAATGATTGAAAAAAAGAGAGAGCTCAAAAGGCACATTGCCTTCGGTATATCTGCAGCAAAACTTCAACTATGGTGGTGGTGGTTATGACAGTAGTTGCAGCAGCACTCCTAGCAAAGTAACACCACCAGTGCCATATGGGCTTTTGGGGCATGCTGCCATGAGCTACTGTTATTAACTCTGGTGGGCATTTCTAGTAATTTCTCTGGTCTCCATCCATTTCTTAAGATACTTAATATAACTGATACGGTGCTGAATTCTGCATCTTCCTACCTAGTTTTGTTCAAGTATACTTACTTAATTTAAATAAGGTAAAAATTCCCCATTCAACTTTGAACTTTTGTTTAGCAAAAGCCTTACTATCATTGTTGCTAGTTGCCAGCAAGTTAATTCAGACTCATGGTAACAGCAAGTGTACAAAATAGAACTGCTCCACAGAGTTTTCAAGGCTGCAACCTTTGGAAGTAGTCTAGTGCTTTAACTGGCTGGGCCACTCAAACTAGTCTACTATTCCCATTTATAGTCAAAATTGATGTGGTTTCATGATAGTAAATTAGTTTTTTAATACTTCTAGGCCTCCATTTCTAAGGTGACTACACTCTAGCACCTTCTTAGTGCTTAGAAGACATAAATAATTTTAAGTTTGTGAGTATAACATCACTAATAACTTAAATCATAAATAGATTTTATGGAAAATTTATTGGTAAGTCCAGGTATTTTTCTGTGAACTCTAAAAATTAAGCTACTGGCCTTCACAGTTTGCAACCCACCAAAATAGACATTACCATACAACTTGTGCTTATTTAAAATCATGTTGTTAAGCAACCAAATCAATGTGAAGGGGAGCATCGATGTAGTGGACATGATAGATCCAGGGTGCAGTATGGCACTGATGAACAACAAAACTATCCTCTAGCTCTTTAATACTGCCTCCCCTTTCTCTTATGGTTTTTATTTACTTTACCTCATTAATCATGCTACATTTATGTATGTTCATTTCTATATTTAAGGTCACTCAGTACATGAAAGTCAAGAAAGATAATCCTTCAGAAAAGGTAACAGGAGTAATGATTCCTGAGGGTATGCAAAGAGGGGTGGGGGGGCGCGCAAAGAATGGAGAGCTGATAGCATTGATGATTATATAACTCAATGGGATTGAACAACATAATTGTATGTGAATTGATATACTGGAATGTGTAAGATATGGCAAAAAAAAGTATCATAGGGAAAAAAAATAATAAGGGTTCCTAGTGGTATGGTGGGGAAGGGAGGGGAGAAAGGGGAGCTGATATCAATGAGTTCAAGAAGAAAGAAAATGTTTTGAAACTGATTATGGTAGCAATTGTACAATATTGCTTGATGTGATTGAACTATGGAATGTTATGATATCTGTATGAGAGTCTCATGAAATAAATAAATAAAATACTGTTGTTGTTAGGTGCAATAGAATGAATTCTAAGCCATAGCAGCCCTCTATACAACAGAACAATACACCCCAGAATTCTGTCCCATCCTAACAACTGTTTTTCTGTTGGAGCCCATTGTTGGAGCCACTATGTCAATCCACCTTATAAAAGGTCTTCTTTTTTGCTGCCTCCCTATTGTACCAAGGGATGTCCTTTTCCAAGGACTGGTCTCTTCTGATAACATGTCCTAAGTATCTGAGGTTGTAGTCTTGCCATCCTTAACTCTAAGAAGCATTCTGGCTATACTTCCAAGACAGATCTGTTTCTTTTAGCAGTCCATGGTACTTTCAATATTCTTCGCCAGCACCACAATCCAAATTCTTCTTCAGTCCCCTTTATTCAATGTCCAACTTTCACATGCATATGAGGCAGTTGAAAACACCATGGCTTTGCACCTTAGTCCTTAAAATAACATCCTTGTTTTTCAATACCTTAAAGAGGTCTTGTGCAGCATTATTTACCCAACCCAATGTATTCTTTGACTTCTTAACTGCTGCTTCCATGAGCATCGACTGTGGATCCAAGCTAGACAAAATCCTTGACAACTTCAATCTTTTCTCCAATTAATTTCTGTGTGTCAATACAAGAAACCTAAATATTTACTACAGAATCTAGCAGTACCTAAAAACACTATAACTAAGTGGAATTTAATTTAGAATGACAGAAGGGTTAAGAGAAAATATATTAGTAAAATTTATTATATTAATAAAGAGAAAATCATTATGATTATGTTCACAGATGCTAAAAAGGCATTTGATTAAAATGCATTATTCATTCTTGACATAAATGTTTTAAATATGAAGAGGAGTTACTGCCTTAAGAAGAAAAAATATGTGTATCTTAACCATATGCCAGCATCAAAATTGACATGAAAACATTACAAATACACTTATTACAGAAAAATATTTAAAAAGCAAGTTCACTGCCACTAGAATTATTAAATGTGATGGCTCTGGAGGTACTAGACAACCAATGCAAGCAAATAAGAACAAAAGATTACTGTATAAAAATTAAAAAGAGGAGACGGCAGACCGTGTGTTTCTAAAATGGCGGCAGTGATGGATGTGGGTACCCTGAGCGGCACCAACGGCGGCGTTGGCAAGAAGCACTTTGAAGTGAAAAAGTGGAATGCAGTAGCCCTCTGGGCTTGGGATATTGTGGTTGATAACTGTGCCATCTGCAGGAACCACATTATGGATCTCTGCATAGAATGTCAAGCTAACCAGGCACCTGCCACATCGGAAGACTATACCGTTGCCTGGGGAGTCTGTAACCATGCTTTTCATTTCCACTGCATCTCTCGCTGGCTCAAAACATGGCAGGTGTGTCCACTGGACAACAGAGAGTGGGAATTCCAAAAGTATGGGCATTAGAAAAAAGTGAATTGTTTTATCAAGCTTAAATGTTTTGTTATTCATTTACTGCCTTGCTCTCTTGTTACTTAATTATAATTAGATAGAACCATGTCTTTGCTGCCTATCTTTTCAGTTTGTCATGCTCATGTGACCATATTGTGTTCTGTGTCAAATAAAAGTCCAGTTGGACTCAGAAATGGAAAAAAAAAAGTTAAGAGGATAAAATACCAATATGTACAGAGTACAGTACTATACTGTAAGCTAAAACCATCAAACTGTAATCTTTAAATAGTAAATTTTGTAATTTTTCAATTATCTCAATAAAACAATTATTTTAAAAGAAACAAGAGAATGAGATAAATACTATTTACCCTAACAACAAAACAAAAAAAAAATCTAGAAATACGTTTAAGAAACGTGTGAAATTTTTAAGTTTAGGAAAGAAATATTAAGATAAAGGTACATATATATATTTTTAAAGATAAACAGTAAAGCATATAAGACTCTTAAAGATTTAAAAACTTTAAGATTTGTCACATTTATCAAATCTGCGATGCATTTTTTGGGAACATTTTTCAAACTCAATCTGTTTGGATGGCTGACTGTACCTCCCTCGCTTGTTTCATTACCTCTTCTATATCAAATTGCTATTCTTTCATGGCCCTCTTCATTTGTGGAAACAAAAGGAAGTCACATGGAGCCAGGTCAAGAAAATATGGTGCATGGGGCAAGACGGGCATGCTGTTTTTTGCATTGCCATGGTGGCAAAACCACAAATCGGGTCTTTTTTTGGTGGCACAGTTACACAATCTTTAAAGAATCTCTAAATAAAAAGCTTAATTAACAAGCAGTCTGAGCTGGTGGAACGAACGCTGAATGCACTATCCCCCTCCCTCACATCAAAAAAGCAAAGGACCATCATCTTGATCATTGATTTCACTTGACAAGGTGATGATGGCGTTTTCCAGTGACTTGATTGATGTTTGCTTTTGGGGTTGTAAAAATAGCACCATGTCTTGTCATCTGTATGATCTTGGGGAAAGAGTCTGGGTTGCTTTGGAGCCGTTCTTTGAAAGCACAGCATGTTTTCACTCAAAGCTCTTTTTGCTAGTCAGTCAGAGGCCAAGGTACAAATTTTGTGGCAACCCTTCTCATTCCCCAATCTTCCCTTAAATTTTGCTGAACTGAGCTCCAACATAGTGCGGATAACTTCCCCATCTCTTCAATGGTCCATCGAAGTCGGTATTTGAACACAAATGCACAAACTGTATTGGCATTTTCGTCCTTTAGGGAAGTTGATGGATGTCCAGAACGAGGTTTGTCATTGATCAATATTTCACCTTTTTTGAAACGAGAAAAACCACTCATATACTGGAGTTTTCCCCCCAGGGATATCCTTCAAAGCTGTGTTCAACATCTCAACAGTTTCTGTGGCATTTTTCCCAAGCAGGAAACAAAATTTCACAGATGCACGCTGTTCTCTTAAATCAACCATCACAGCAGGTTCGCGTGAAACTGTTTTTACAAATAAATTCAGTGTGACCAAAGAGTGCCTTCCCAGGTGACGCCACTTGGTACACTCAGAGTAAGCTGCTTGGTGCTTGTCCAGCAGGAAAACTGTGCACTATGAAAGTTCTGCCCAACGGAACTTTTTTCCGTTTGTTATGTTTGGGCGGGGGCCGCGCAGGGTTTACACCCTCATATTCTTCACCAGCACCATAATTCTAATATGCCAATTCTTCTTTGGTCTTCCTTATAGGTGATTGAAAATGCCATGGTTTGTGTCAGATGTATCTTAATCCTCAAAGTAGCATCCTTGCTTTTCTACATGTTAGAAATTTTCTACAGATTTACCTAATGCAATGTATCTTTTGATCACTTGACTGCTGCTTCCATGAGAACTGATGTGGATCCAAGCAAGATAAAATCCTCGACAACTTCCAACTATTTCTCCATTTATCATGAAGTTACCCACTGGTCCATTTGTGAAGATTTTGGTCTTCTTTACATTTGAGTTATAATCCATACGGAAGGCTGCAATCCTTGATCTTCATCAGAAAGTGCTTCCAGTCCTCCAGGCTGTCATCTGCACATTGCAGGTTGTTAATAAGCCTTCCTCCAATCCGGATGCCACTTTCTTCTTTATAGAAGCCAGCATCTTTAATATACATTAAGTATGTTGAGAGAATACAACACTGATGTACTCCCTTTCTTAATTTTAAACCATGCAGTATTTTCTTGTTTTGTTCAGACAACTGCCTCTTGATCCATGTACAAGTTTTTCAGGAGCACAAGGAAATATTTGATCAAGGCTATCTATAGTTTCCTATGATCCACACAGGTGAATGCCTTGGTTTAAATAATAAAACACAAGTAAACACATTTCTGGTACTCTCTGCTTTCAGCTAAGATCTGACAGCAACAATATTCCTTGTCCCACATTCTCTTCTGAATCTGGCCTGAACCTCTAAAACAGTGGCTCTCAGCCTTCTTAATGCCACGACCCTTTAATATAGTTCCTCATGTTGTGGTGACCCCCCCTCAACCATAAAATTCTTTTCGTTGCTACTTCATAACTGTCATTTGAATCAGGCAACCCGTGAAAGGGTCGTTCGACCCCTCCAAAGAGGCCGCAACCCACAGGTTGAAAACCACTGCTTTAAAAGCTCCCTGTCAATGTACTGTGACAACCATTGTTGGATTATCTCCAACACAATTTTTACTTGCATGTGATATCAATGATTTTGTTCTATAATCTGCACTTTCTGTTTGGTCATCTTTCTTTGGAATAAGTACAAATATGCATCTCTTTCAGTCAGATGACCAAGTTGGTTGCCGTCCACATTTCCTGACATAGATGAGGGCGTGCTTCCAGTGCTTCATCAACTTGTTGAAACATTTCGATTGCTCTTCCATCAATTTCTGGACTTTGGTTTTTGGCAAATGTTTTCAGTGCAACTTGAATGTCTTCTTTCAGCATCATTGGTTCTTGCTCTTGTGCTACCTCCTGAAATAGTGAAACGTTGACTAGTTCTTTTTGATCTTCTTTTGATGCTTCTTGCATGTTTCAATATTTTGCCCATAAAATCTTTCAATCTTGCAACACAAGGTTTGAATTTTTCTTGAGTTCTTTCAGTTTAAGACATGCTGAACATGTTCTTCCCTTTAGGTTTTCTAATTTTAGGCCTTTGCACATTTCAGTATAATATTTGGCTTTGTCTTCTCAAGCTGCCCTTTGAAAATTTCTAGTCAGGTCTTTGATATAATCATTTCTTCCATGTACTGGTTTATATGACGAAGAATGTGGTATTAGGAATAGAGGAAACCTTATCAACAACCTGCAATGTGCAAATGACACAACTGTAATTGTTAAAACTGAGGAGGGATTGAAGCACTTGCTGATGAAGATCATCAATATGGTTTACAACTCAATGTAAAGAAGATCCAAATCCTCACAACTGGACCAACAGGGAACATTCAGATAAATGGAGAAAAGGTTGAAGTTGTCAAGGACTTTGTCTTGCTTGGATCCACAATCAATGCTAATGGAAGTAATGCATTAGGTGAATCTGCTGCACAAGACTAAGTGTTTCGAATGTTGAAAAGGATGTTACTTTGAGGAGGAAGATGTGGCCTAACCTAAGCCCTGGTATTTTTGCATGTGAAACTTTATATGCATGTGAAAGTTGGATATGGAATAAGGAAGACTAAACATTAATGCATTTTAATTGTGATGCTAGAGAAGAATATTGGAAGTACCACGGGCTGCTAAAAGGGCAAGCCAGTCTGTCTTAGAAGTAAGTAATGCCAGAGTGCTCTTTAGAGGCACAGTCTTTGTCTTACATACTTTGGACATGTTTGTCACGAGAGATTAGTCATTGGAGAAGGACATCATGCTTGGTAAAGTGGAGGGACAGTGAGAAACAGGAAGGCCCTCAAGGAAATGGACTGACCCAGTGGAACAATTCTGAGGATAGCTCAAGACCGGGCAGTGCAGGACCACGTACTGTTTTTTTCTGTTCTCCACAGGGTCACTATGGGTCAGAACCGACTCAATGCACCTAACAGCAGCAGCAGTTTATCTGGTATGAAACTACACCTTATCCTCACCAACACAATTATATTGCTGTTGGGTGTTTTGTGTTCAGCAGTAAAAAGAAAAAAAGCAGCTATCTTATTAGCCTTTTAACCTCACTAGCAAGCAAATACAGTATATGAACGTTAAGTATCATCTTCCTATTTTATTTCTATACATTTGGTTCTAACCTCCCAAGAGTTTTTTCGGCAGGGAGGGAATTTTGCTTTGTGACAATAATTTCAGGTTTATAGAAAAATTCACTATTTTTGGCATTTCCAACGATTATATGGCTGCTTTTTACTCCAAATTCCTAGAAAATGGAGGTCCCCCAGGGCTTTCTTCAACTTCCTTTGGTACTTACTCAAGTCATTTCCTTGTCAATTTCATTCACTCAGCTCCAAACTGAGCTCTCTACCATCCCCCAAAGCTCATGATCTAAATTTCTCCTGTCATATCTATCTTGATAGCCTACTGAAGCAAAACTGGCATTCCCTGGCTCTATCTCATGGTTTCTGAATTAACAGCTAAATAGTAATCATTCTCACATCGGGCACTCTATATTCCCTCCTTTTTCTACAACCCCCCTAGAGTTTGGGCTTCCATAAACTCTCACAAAAGTCAGTGCAAAAGCCAGAACCCAAAATCTTCCCTAGAAGTCAATTTCTACAAGACTACTGTGACAGCCTTCTTCCTAAACTGCAGATCAGAGTACATCATTCACTTTGTATCTAAGTCTTCCATAATTTCTTTTTACTGAGAAAATCTATAATTGCTAGTGCTGAAGCATTTCCACATGACCTAAACCTACAACTGTCTTGACTTATCTTCCACTTTACTACTACCACTGCTTGACTAACATACATATCCCTTCATTCTTTACTCAAACTGTTCTAGTTTCTTCCACACCTTTAACAAAATCTAACTCAGTAAAAGGTCAAATTCAAAGCCTCCTCTTTCCCTCCCAGAATTCTTTCTCTAATTTCCCTACTCAGAAGTTCTTTCCTCTCTTCTGCATTAGAATAGTACTTTATTTGCACCTGCAGAAAGCAATTTGGCCTTTGTTTCGGGTTCTTTCTTGCTTGATCAACACCTAGTGAATAGAGGCTGAAAAGACCAAAAAGGGCCACCTGAGGGACCAATGCTGATGCAGCTTCACAAGTCTGATGTAACCATGTGTCAGGGCCATTTGAACATGGAGGCTCATAAGAAGCTTCCTGGTCGGTGACCTTGTACAGAAGAGGGTAACACATTCTTAAGGCATGGAAGCTTTGTCCTGTGACCCTTCCCCAACTTCATCATATATGTCTTTTCATTTTTATCCCTTTTCCATTGTAATAAATCTATAGTAAGTATAATAAACTCTGTAAAAGCTGTGAGTTATTCCAATGAATTAACAAAGTCACAGAAGTAGTGAGAGTAAGCAAAGGCTGGCATTTGGTAGTCTGAAGGAATGAAGGTATCCTTTTAAATGTGTGAGTACTTACCTAACCATGGTGGCTAAGGCTGAAAGGTGATAATCTGTTTAACCTGTGAATTCTGACCCAACTGATGGCTGAGATATGGCAGCATGCCACATAAGCGGCTAGTAACAGAGATGGAGAAGTTGAAAAGTGAGAAACTAGATCAATTTCCACACTTTCCAATTCGGACTCAGGCTGATCCTTACCATGAATTAGTTAGCAATGAAAGTGGAATCTGCTTAATGGGGGGAGAAATATAAGGCTATCAGATCATATTTATACAAGTGAGATAATGGTGGCTTGAATCTGTAGGTAATCATGACAGTGGAGGCAATAAAAGCGGTAGATCCCAGATACACTTTAAAGATATAGCCAACTGAAATTGTGATCAAAATCAAGGATGAGTTTTTGTATATTAAAGGAGAATTGCCCTTTACTGAGATTTTTAAAGAAAATGGGAAGAGCAGATTATTGAAAGATTAGGAGTTTATAGTGTGGTACAAGGTAAATTTGAAATTCTTATAAGATATTCAAGTGGAATTGTGGACAGCACCTGGATGCAGAAATCTACAGTTCAAAAAGAGATGTCTAGTGGAGATGCGATAGCCCCCCCAGTTAGGCAAAGTAAAGAAAGTTTATCAAGGTAGTGGGATTGAATCAATGGGCCAAATTCTGCTCTTCAATTTGCAACAGTATAACTGGTAATTTTCAAGAGTGATTTCAATGATAAGAGTCAAAAGGTGCAGCTTTAAATGGATTCAAGAAAATTGAGTGGAGAGGATTTACAGAAAATAGGAGACAGACAACTTCAAATAATCTCATTATAAAGGGAAGCAGAGAAAAG